GCAATCCTGGGTTGCAAGCCAGGTTCCCAGCAGGGGGAGTGTGAGAGGCAACCACACTGATATTTCTCTCCCTCCCTTCCCCTCTCTAAAAATAAATAAAATCTTAAAAAAAAAATTGCTGTCCATCTTGTGTGAGACAGTCACATTCCCTACCAACCAAACTCAAGCACGCCTTACTCCTGCCAGACCCTGTATATTTACACACATGTACACACATACACACACCTCATTTAATTTGACTGCAGTCACACACCATTTAACAATGGGAATACATTCTAAGTAATGTGTCCTGGGGCCATCTCATCCTTGTGCACTGAGTGCACTTCCATGAACTTAGCTGGTATCGCTTACTACACACCTAGCCAATATGGTCTAGACTATACCTCTGTAGTGAAGGAAAAACAATTTTCTCTCTCCTCTTCTGGGCTCTTGACTGAGACATTCCTGTAATAAAAGACAGGCTAATGGGAGAAAAACAAAAAGTTTTATAACACGTATACCTCCATTATAAATGAGAGAAACCCAGGAAAACTGAGTAAATCACCAAAATGGCTGAAGATTCCACCTTAAATACCATTTCAGCTCAAGACGAAAGAAGACTTTGGGGGTAGGGGACATCTGTTTTGGGAAGTTACTGGGAAAAGCACAGTAAACATGGTTAAGGTTGTTATACAGCCCTTGTCTTCTGCATTGGTAAGAGTATCGAGAAGTCATCCCCCTCCTCCTGGTTCAGTGATGGAGACACACAAATGTAAATGTCTTTTACAAACAGTAATTTGTATTGGCTTTCAGAGCTTGTCCCATATGTGCTTTTTTTTAAACAGCCTAAAATAATCATTATACCAAATACACATATTTTGGGATGACAAATTCTGTTCCCCTGCAGCTCCTAGGCTACAAGCCCATACCGTACGGCATGTTACCGTCCTGAATACTGTAGGCAACTGTAACATTTTGGTGCTACAATGTTACTAGGCCATAGGAATTTTTTAGCTCCATTATAATCTTAAGGGACTATGGAACGTATACTCGTATATGTGATTTATTGTTGATTAAAATGTCAGTTTTGCGGCACACGACTATGACATTCTTTGCTTATGGAGCATATCTTTTTTTTTTTTAAATTTAGAGATTGTATTTATTTTTAGAGACAGGAAGAGAAGGAGGGACGGAAACATCAATGTGTGGTTGCTTCTCGCGCACCCCTCACTGGTGACCCAAGCATGTGCTGCAACCTAGGCACGGACCCTAGACTGGGAGTGGAAACAGCAGCGACCCTTTGGTTCGCAGGCTGGCACTCAGTCCACTGAGCCACACCAGCCAGGGCCCCTTTCTATCTTATTCAAAGGAGAAAAAGTTCCACATTCATTTACTGGATGGATAATGAAACATCTTAAAAAAAAAGATTTTATTTATTTATTTTTAGAGAGATGGGAAGGGAGGGGGAAAGAGAAGGAGAGAAACATAAATGTGTGAAAGATATTATCAATTGGTTGGCTCTCACACGCCCGCAACCCAGGCATGTGCCCTGACTGGAAATCCAACTGGTGTCCCTTTGGTTTGCAGGCTGGCGCTCAAATCACTGAGCCATACCAGCCAGGGCTGGATGTAGAATGAAACTTGCATCTCCACCAAACTTAAATCTCTCCTTGACTGTATAAAATCTCCCTAGGTTTATATTAAAATCCTAACCACGACCTGTAACTTTACCTACAAATCAATAAGCACAGAACACTCACGTCCTTTCACGTGCAGCACGCCACGCTGCAGGGCTCTCCCCCCTCCTTCAGAGTCTGCACAAGCATCGTCCTTATCAGGGAAGCCTCTCTATCTGAGTGAAATAACAATTTATTGCCTTCTGCCTCAGCAATCCTTCTCTCCCTACCTGCTTGATTTTTTATCATAGCATTTAATCCCACTTGACATAGTTTGTTCCTCTATCCACCAGAATATAAACTCCAAGAGAGCATAAAGGGACTGTCTGCTTTGTTCCCGGGTGTATATCCTGTGCTCAGTAGGTGCTCCACAAATAAATATTGGTAGAATAAATGTTAAATGAAAGTTACCTGTAATTTCCAACTGCCAAGAACACTGTGTGTGTGTCTGTGTGTGTGTGCGCGCGCGCACTTATTCTCTTCAACTCGTTTATAGCTTCCAAAAATCGCAGCCTGTTTTTGACATTGACATTCCCCCTTTGTGGTGATTCTACGTCACTACACAAGAGGTTGCAAACTCAGTCATGACCACCTTTGGCATATTTCGATCGGCTCACAGAATGTGCTACAAATTTGAAGTTAGAAGCCAACAGTTAAAATGGACAAATTAGCCCTGGCTGGAGTGGCTCCGTGGATTGAGTGCCGACCTGTGAACCAAAAAGTCGCCCGTTTGATTCTCAGTCAGGGCACATGCCTGGGTTGAGAGCCAGATCCCCAGTTGGGGGCCTGCAAGAGGCAACCAATCGATGTGTCCCTCACACATCAATGTTTCTCTCCCTACCTTTCTCCCCTTCTCTCTCTCTAAAAATAAATAAAAATCTTTTTTTAATGGACAAATTAATATACAATTTTGGATTTCTGGAACCTCTTGGTCAGGTTTTCTAAAAAAAAATTTTTTAAATTTATTTTTAGGTGAGAGGCGAAGGGACTAAGAGAGGGAAACATCAATGTGTGGTTTCCTCTTGTGCGGCCCTTGCTGGGGGCCTGGCCTGCAACCCAGGCATGTGCCCTGACTGGCAACTGAACTGGATCACAAACCACTGAGCCACACCAGCCAGAGCAGGGCCTCAGATTTTTTTTCAGAGACAATATTTGCAGCAAGGCAACAATCAACTAGAGCTAAGAAAGGGCTGCCTAGGTTCTCCAGACTCCCCACACCCAGTTCATATCACTCATTTGTGTTACTTACATTTTTGTAGGTATGTGAGGTGGAAGGAGACCTGACTTAAATCCTTTCCTTTCCATTTCCACTGCTGTTACACTTGGTAGTACAGAATCCACTTACCTGTAGTCTAAGCTACTGAGACAATCTAATTAAGGTCCTTGTCTCCATCTTATTCGTCCATTTCTTATCATCAATCACCCAGCTCAAAAACTTTCACTGGCTTAGTTCTCACCATCTAAAATTCAATTATTTAGTTTTGTGTTCCAGGCCCTCCTTCCCCAGGAAATCATTCCTACTTTTATATTTTACTATGCCCTTCAGCTTACCTTTCATTAATTATATTCATACACTTCCTTCCTTTTCCAGCTCCAAGCCTGTGCTCACATTCTTTAACTGAACTTTCCTCCCAAGGTCTGTTTATCTACCCTTCAAGGCTCAACACTCCATAAAGCTTTCCCAGCTCCCCTTCCCACACATGACTCCCCTAACCTCGACTGCCAACTCTGGGGCTTCTGGATTTTCCATAGTTTATCTGCTCCATTTTCTATACATTTTGTTACAACTTTTCAATCATGTACTTGAACAAGCACTTAACAGCTACTGAGCAAATGAATTCATTCCAATGCATAATAACTTTGTTCAAACTGGAATTCTCTCCATACTGTGGACAGCGTCATTTGTTATGCTACCCTGGGACACATTGGGTCCACACTGTCCCCAAAGGTGTGAAAATTGGTTCTTGGTAAAGGGGAGGCAGGAAAATCTTAGGTTTGTAAAAGGTTTCTGGTCTTCCAAGGGCCACAGTACATGAGCAGATATCAGAGATATTCAAAGTTCATGTTGCAGGGGATTAGAGGGGAAATGTACTTTTAAATCCCCTGTGGAGAGCGAGACAATAACGCAGAAAGATTGAGAAACAGTACTAGGGGGTCTTTTCCTTTGTTCCCTGTGTATTTGCCTGCTCCCAGACTGACTACCTTGAGAACAATGTGTGATGAGGGCAGGAAAGCAGAGTGGTCAGACAGCAGGCTCTGGAATCAGACTGCCTGGTTACGCACGTTCGCTCTCACATTTCTTGGCTGTATAACAGAAAGTCACTTAACCTCTCTGTCTCAGGTTCCTCATCTATAACATGACCCTAATACCTTCCTCCTAAGGTTGTATATTAAGTGAGGCCGTCCAGAAGAGCACAGAGAGCTTCATCAATGTTTATAAAATGTGCACGTACATTAGGTTGTTTCCTACAAACGACTGATGGTCTAATGCTGGTAGGTTTCAATAGCAAGAGTCGACAGGGAACAGGAACCACCTTGGTAATCAGGCGGGAGTTGCAGGCAGCTGTGAAAAAGCTTACACCTGGGGCCCCTCCTCTCTAAAAGGGGTAGTCATTGCACCAACCTCTGGGTATTTGTGAGGAACTAATCGATTCATGCAGTGTGTTTAAGACAGTGCTCTTAATGTTAGCCCGACTACAAGCCGAGATCCTCTCAAAATCGGACCGGACAGCAGGACACTGGCAGCCAGTTCCGAAAAATCAGACCCTGTCCTAAGACTCAAGTGGAGCACCTGCAGCCTGATTCACGGATTCACTTCCCCAAATGGCTCCATGCACGCGGCTTCCACCTGAGCTCGGCCCGGCCCGGGGCTCAGTACCTGAGGCGCCTCCCGCGCTGGCACCCTGAGCAAGCAGGCCCGCATCGCGTGCTGGGCGGCTGGCGCGAAACCGAGGCTAACACCGGTCGAGAGTTCATGGAGGCGGACCCTGCACAGGGGTTGAGGGTGTGTGTGGGCAAGGGGTGCTCAGGCAAGGGCGTGACGGCAGGCGGCTGTGACCCTAACATAGTATCAGTCCAGGATCCGCGGGAAGCCGCCCCAGGCCTCAATGCTTCAGTTCCACAGGGCGCGGGCAGCAGAGACCTCTACATCATCAAACCTGTCTGCGCACTGCCTTAAGGCGCATGCGCGCCTTTTTTCGCGCCTCTGGAGTCGCGCACTCACCCGCCCACTCTGGAAATCTCTACCCACAATCCCCGAGGTTCACATGCTGTCTTCTCCGGCGCATGCGCCCGCCACAGTCCCGCCCACAAATCCCGTGGGCCTGTGCGAGACAATATTTAAGCGTCTCGCAGCCCGGGTTAAGCCCCGTTTTTCTGCTGCTCTCGGTAAGCTTGCTTTGTGTTTCAGGTGTAGCTGGCCGCGTGCTCGTGGCGTTCCTTAGGCCAACCTCTGTTGAACCCGTCTGAAGGCTGGGCGCTGGGGGACGTGACCGTGGCCTCCAGGCCTCTAGTCGCTGCAGGGCTTTGTGAAGGACAAAATGGCTGTGGCGGGCGGTGTTGGCGGCCCTTTCTGTGATGAGAACCTTTTCACAGACCTGTGCTGAAATCTGTGAGGATAAGAAACTCTGAGACTGGCCTTGCGTAGCCGGTGCAGCCATTGTTTCGGAAAACAAAGCGTTTGCGAAAAATTCCACTGCTGACTTACTGTTTTGTCTGTAGGCGCACGTTTTGAACGCCAAAGAACCTGAAACAGTCCTCTTGTTGGAGTAAGTGTGTAAAGCTATCCTTTACGACCGTCCTCCATTGTTGAGTGTAGAGAAGTCCCATGGGAGGTGCTACGGGGATGATAAAAAATGAACTCTCTCTCTCTGATAGATTAGTGGAGAACTGTACAGTCTGAGTAGCGCCATCCGTCTCAAATGTTTGGTGTTTTTTATTGGGACTTTTTAGCTATGAAGTGTTAAGCACTAAGTTGAGATAGGCTCCAAGGTATAAAACTAAGTGAAAGGATCCTTTTCGTTTTTTTCAGACATGGTTCAGTTCAAAAGAGTTTATGGGTTGGAGGATGGCACAAGACCTGTCGCTGTGAAAGTCATTACAGTGGGTATGCCCCAGGTGGGTATGCGGTGGTTATGCAATCATGGGTAGGGGGACAGTGTCGAGATGACGTCCAGTTGGGCTGGCCACTCCATGATGAACATAAAATGACAAGCATATGACTGAACTTAAAAGTGATGTCATCTTAATACTGAGAGGTGAGCCAAGAGTATTCCAGGGTCTTTGAATGGCTCTTATTTGGTACATGCAATGCCTCCTTTTTCTGTCCCTAGCATCTCATCGTCAGTCCTGAGGAATTCAACTGCTGCCCAAGGTGACTGCAGGTAATTGTTCAACTGGGAGATTGGGGTGTCATCTCTCCAGTGTTCCCCACAACCAGGAGAGCAGATGGTCAATGGAGCACTGTCTCCTTCCAGCTTGTTTCTCTTGGAATGATTTTCTTGGGGCGGGGGAGAACAACCCAGTAGTACAATTGGTTTTTGAGGGTGTGATTTTTCCCTCACCTACATGTCACTGTCAGATGATTTGAATTGTAATGCTGATACTCTGTGAGGTGTGACAGGTAATAGCATGTTAGAGTTCTGATGGCAGTTTCTGTTAAATGAAGAAATCTTAATCCATTCTGATATTTTTAAGTAATCACTTGTTTCTTGTTTATAGGTTGTGCTGATGATATATTCACCTATCTTAATGGTGAGTAGCTTTTCCCAACACTGTGGTAAATTAACATGTGTGGAGTTTTTTGTTACAAGAGCCCTGATGGGCCCGTATGGCTTTCTGGTTTCTCTCATTCTTACTGTGATTTTTTTCCCCTGCCTCTCGTCTCCTAGATACCCACTGATAACGCCCAGGGTTGAACTCTGGAAAGGGTTGGAAGTGGTGAGTATCTAACTTGGTTGTGGCTTGCCCCAGGGTCCAGTGCCAGTGAGGAGAGCAAGCATCCTGTCTTACCCTAGTTCTAGCCCCAGAGCCAGGAATGGTGAGCCCACTGGGGCTGACTGGGAGAGAGGATGAGAGCTTGTTCTATAAGGAACTGTCTGAGGTACAACAAATACCTATAGATAGCATTTGCTTAGTTTTTCTTGGGTCTATCCATTAACCATGGCTGTGAATAGCTTTGGCTGTATTTTACTAATTATATGATCTCATTTAGGAGCAACTGGACCCTGTATGTGACTGAAGAGCCTCCAAGCTTAAAAAGGTTAGTTGATTGAGGTCAGGCTTGTGCCACCAAGTAGTCAGTTTCTATGATGAATCAAACTAGCTCACTATGATTTACATAATGAAAACATTTGAACACCTGAGAAACTGGAGAAGCCAGTAGCAGAGGGGGGGTGCCTTGTTAAGGAGTTTTTATTAACCACAGCTTTGTCTTTTCCCTAGGCACTATTAACAGTAACCTGCTTATCTACTCAAAGGTGAGTGGTTTCCATATGTTAGTGCAATCAGCATGCTGGGTATAAAAACACCTTTTTAGGCCTATATATGTGATGACTTACATGGAATCTCGTTCGGCTGATGACTTGCTGTTGAGACTTGGAAATCTGATATTTTAGGAATGGGCTGAGGTGGGAACAGCTTTCAGTGCAGGAAGTTACACAGTGGTGACTCAGTCGTCTTTGTTTTAGGTCCAGCGTCTTCTCTTGGAGCCAAAGAATGATCTGAGGTAAATTTCTTTGCAACACTTGCAGTCTATGGCTGGTGTATAAAATTTGCCACAGTTGTGTGTATGTTGCACTTTGGGTCACTCACCAGTGATGAGTTCAATACCGCCCCAGTCTGATCACTGTGACTGACAGGTATTTTCTGAGCTGTGAGCTTGCCTTGGAGTGAAAAGTGACAATGGGAAATTGAGTAGGCTGTACAGCCAATACGTTAGAGGACTGCCTAGGTCCTATAAAATGTGTGTTGAAATCTTACCCATCCTATACAGGTGTGTCTTTCCCCCAGACAATGGGTTCCTAGGGCTGGTCGAGAGACTCAACTTCCAATCATTCTTTTGCAGGGAACATGTAAGCCATATTTCTGCTCAACTTAATGCTGAAGTTAGAGGTAAGTAAATTCAGATGCGAAGTGTGGGCTGAGCTAAAATTACCCAGTGATGAAACATTCACATGTCTTACCTCCTGTCGTAGCCCCAGAGCCTGTAAAGGTGAACCCACTGGGGCTGGCTGGGGGAGAAGAGGAAAGTTTGTTCCAGAAGGAACTGTCTGAGGGATCATAAGGATTTCTAAACATGGGAAAGGGAAGAATAAATCACTTGTTGAAAAGTTGTTTTTTTCCCCCCCCCAGGTCTAAAGAAAGAACAAGTATGTATAATGGTAGGTACCTGCTTATGTATTGGTGTTTAGTATTTAAAGTACTGACATAATAAACAGAAAAGCTTCTAGAATTATAAATTGGTTTAAAGGTTAGCTCCTTGTAAATGCATACAATGCATATTCTTTCCCACCCAGTAAGAAAACTCACTTTTCTTTTTCTCTACAGGATGCCAACTCTTACAAAATATCAAAAGAAAATTTCAAGCAATTTCTTGTATGCTGTAGCTGTTCCAACTTGCATATAATCATTTCAGTCTTTATAAATAAAAGGTTTTTTTTAACCTCACTGTGATTGGTATGTTTGAGTGTGTCTAGTTTACCTGAATAGGGTGCAACTTTTAGGGCATCTGGTAGGGGTGGTCAGGTGAACATATTTGTTCATTGAAGAACAGAATGGGCATTGAACATCCATCTTGATCTCTCTAACCCGTCACATCTGAGCATGTGCGGATCACTACTTAAAAAATTAGTCTCCAAATGGGGTGCCTGTCTTCACACATAACCAATGCTTTCAAAGCTTTTTATTTTTTAGGTGGAAGGGAGAGAAACATTGATCAGTTTCCTCTAACACACCCTGATCCAGGAACTAAACCTGCAACCTAGGCCACGTACCTTGACCAGGAATCGAACCAGTGACCTTTCACTTTGTGGGATGATGCCAAACTGAGCTACACAGGTCAGGGCATTTATCTTTTTGGCCCTGGGCAAGCTGGTTTTGGCTTTGGGGGTAAGATATGGGCAGGGGCACACAGCATGCGGGGGCGGGGCTAGTGTGGGTGTACGTGTACAGTTAGATCAGTGATTCTCAATGTTGAAAGCAGGTAGTTTTGTAAACCTGGAGGCTTAAATCTCCGTTGTCAACGTGCACACTGGCCTCCACACCACACCTGGCAATCCTGAGTTGTCAAATAAGGACAATCCTTACTATTTCAGGACTAAACAGAACGGATACTAAATGTTCAATTCAGGGATTCCCACCTGCTTTACATTTCCATCTTTAAATTTTAGGGTACAGTCATTCCACTATCCTGGGGTACTGATTCCAAGCTCTCCATGGATATCAAAAATCCCAGGATAGTCAATACCCTTACATAAAATGGTGTATTTGCATATGGCCTATATGCTTCAAGTCATTTTTAGATTATTTAATACCCAACAATGTAAATGCTATGTAAACATACAGTATTTAGAGGAGGACAGTGTACTGTGTTCAGTACAGCTGTAACTAATAGACCTAACTATATAGTATATGTCAGCAACAACAAAGCTTTCTAAAAAATAGTTTCCTCTGGGGTTGAGCTGAAGCATCAGCCTGCTCCACTTGGAGAAGCACACTGTGAGAACCAATGAAAAGGAGCCAGAACGGCTGGAACCCCTTCCCTATGAATTCATGGCATAAGTGTAAAAAAAATATGAAGACCTGTACTGGTTTAAAAAAAAAAAAACTTCCCATCTGCAGTTGGGCAGTTGGTTTAGTCTGTGTATGCAGAACCCACAGAGAAGTCCCAACTGTTGGGGACCACTTTATGTGATGCCGGGGATTATAGGCCTGTGCAAGCTAGACCTTGAAAGGCCTGTAAATCTTGACCAGAATACTGGGAAGCAGACATGACCCAAAGCTAACACCGAGGGTTCCCGTGGGAGATATGGCCAAAAGAATGCGTTGCATCTACTGAAGCTTGCTCTGCTTTGTACGGCCCTGATAAGGAAAAACCAGGTGTTTAACCTGAAGGCAGGGGAGAGAACTCCTGAGCCCCTGAGCCATGCCTTAATGACCATCTGGCGTTAGTATGTCTAACAGACCCTAACCTAAGGCTGATCTGTGTGTTCCTTCTATTATTTGTAAACGATGTCTGTTTTCCATTAACTGTAGCCCTCTGGCACTGATGAATGAGCTATGCATATATGCTGTATACCCCTGTGCATATCATTCTCAATAAAAGCCACTTCAGAGAAAGAATTGGGGCATTCTTCACTAGAGGGAATCACCACCCCTTTCTCCTGGCAGACGAAGTGTGTCTGGAACGACTCATTCTCAACCATGATGGCTGGGAGGACTCCTCGGGACAGGAACTCCCTCACCAACCGTGCATTTCCTGTCAGTAATAGGGCAACTAACTGAAAAACTTTTTTCATTAAGTGGTAGCTGCACAGATTTGAAAGTTGTCAACAGTAATATAGCCATGGGAATAGGAGGGCTGGTCCTGAAAGTGGATCTGATAAGAAAGGAACCCCACCAGGACCCAGGGTTGGTTGGGGTGGGGCGGGGCAGGGGGGGGGCAGCCAAGAAGAAAGGTGCTGTACATATGATGAATGGTGTGTCAAAGCTACAAAGAGGTCAGAACAGGCTGGGAATGACTGCAGGCAACTATGTTGATCTTTAGCTACCCACCAGTCACAACATGCAGTAGTTCATCCTGGTCTCACCAACCGTGGGAGGCAGGTGCCAGAAGCACCCTTGGATAGGAGAAGGAAATGGAGGCAAGGGACAGATAAGTAAATGGCCCATTGTCACAGAGTTAGAATAGGGGAGGAGATCAGCTGTCAAAGTCCCAGGGATGTATCAATCAGATAAGGCTATTAGCTCTAGGAGTCTGGAGGCTACTGTTACTCTACACCAGATCTGGGAATACAGCAAGGAGGTGATGGAACAGAAGCTAGACAGACCTGATTTTGTTCATCATTGTAGAGTGTCTCCTCGGTAAGTATAAAGCAATGGACAAATGGCCTCCCAGGGAGCACCTGTACTTCCAAGTTCTTGTGGAGCCCTCCCTATCAGCCTCTACCCATGCAGGACAAGGCAGGTGGGCAGCAGTAGAGGGAGAGTGAAGGAGCCACTCCCCAGTTGCCGTTGCTTCAGAGGTGGAACAGGACTACTGCTGAATGTGAACACCTGGCTGGAGATCTGCCCACCCCGAGGTCTGTGCTCTGGGCCAGTCAGGCTCGCTGTACCCTGGACAGAGGACTGAAGCCTGCTCCACTCGGGGGCTGAGAGTTGCCCCAGGTTGGGTCTTGCAGAATCTGGAGAAGGCTGGGATTGGAAGAAACTGAATTTTGTTTTTGCCCTTGTATTAGTTTTTTTATCGGTTTTAACAAATTACCATAAACGCAGTAGCTTAAAACAAAACAAATGGATGTTACACGGCTGGAGGTCCGAAGTCCAGAATGGGTCTCAATGGGCTAAAATTAAGCTGTGTCAGCAGGGCCCCTGCTCCCACCTGGAGGCTTTAAGGGCAAATCATTTCCTTGACTTTTCCAACTTCTAGAGGCCACCAGGCATGACTCTCTGCCATCTTCAGAGTTAGCAATGGCTCATTAAATCTTTCTCATGCCACACCTCTCTGACATTGAGTCTGATTCCCCCTTCTACTTCTTAGGGCCTTTGTGATGATACCAGCAGGCCCACCAGATAATCCAGGATAATCTCTCTTTCTTAAAAGCCTTAACTATGTCTGCAAAGTACCTTTTTCCATGTAAGGTAACACATTCAGAAGTTCAAAGAATTCTCCTGGGGGACAGTATTCTGTAAGCCATACTCCCTTAGTTTAACCTCTCTCTGGAGGCTCTGGGTTTCATTACTTCTGCATTACCAGAAACCTTGCTAGCTGAAATTATATTGTTGAGACTGAAATGAGCTACTCTTGCCTGAAGGTTCTCAGCCATGCCTGTATCTTTGACACCGAGCCCAGGCCTCTGCGTCCAGCCCAGCTGCAGCGCTTCGGTTAAGGAGGTTTCCAACAGAACATATCATGTTTATATGAATATAGTTTCGAAGGAAACAGGACCTCAAATCCCTTCTCAGATAGGGCTTGATACATAATCCATTTCATACCGCTGGGCTTTCCTTTGAGCCTATAAGAGAACTGCCCATTCAAATTTGACCTACACTGTCTTCACCTTCCTCTCTCTAACCGCTGGATCCTGGATTTAAGAATCAGGAAACTCTGAAACGTCTTTCTCGGGGAATGTTTTCCCCTCTGTGAAGGGTCCACCGCAAGATGTAAATGGAGTGGGGGTGGATGTGACAAATCAGGAGGGGAGGCACAGAAAAGAGCTGGGATGCGAGAACTCAGTCTTAAAAGGCCAACGTTCAGTGTGTGTGCTCGCTTCTCACAAACACCCACTAAGCGCTTTATGATTTCACCAATTATCAGAGGAGGGGAGAGGAGCCTACGCAACGTAAATCAGGAACTGGCGAGCAGGGATCCCAAATCACCAATTTGGATTCCAAAGCCTGTGTTCCCGGACCGCGGCCTCTCCAAATGTGTCCCGCAGAGGGCACACCGCCACCCGCCCCAACTTCAACCCACTGACCGAGACCACCATCCGGCCTCCCCCAGGGGCGCCTAAAGTCTTCAGGATGGGAGCCTGGAGCCACAGTCTAGAAGAAAAAGAGACCACGTGGGCATTGAAATTAGGATTTGTATGCGGAACAAGCCGAAGAACGTTAAAAACCGAGGGGCGGGTTTATGCAAAACATACCGAGCGGTGAGCTGGTGGGAAAAGCAGTAAAGAACCCTATTTTAAACCTATTTTAAAGGACCCTATTTTGGAACCCTGTTTCCAAAAACATGCTATTCTTTCAAAGTAAGAATAATAAGGAATTGAGAATAAGAAAAATTGCATAGTGAAAAAGTGCAAGCGTTAGGACATAAAAGTCACCACAACCGTAATAGCTACAGTAATGGTAAGCCTGGCCTGGAGGCAGCCATCACGGTATCGCTTCTCGGCCTTTTGGCTAAGATCAAGTGTAGTATCTGTTCTTATCAGTTTAATATCTGATACGTCCTCTATCCGAGGACAATATATTAAATGGGTTTTTGGAGTTAGGAGATGGAATAGGAGCTTGCTTCGTCCACTCCACGCATCGACCTGGTATTGCAGTACTTCCAGGAACGGTGCACCCCCTTCTTGGGGGAAAATTTGTAGTTTTAAAAATAGAAACCAACTTGGTTAGTGAAGGGGCCCAGTTTTCAGAAAACGGAAAAAGCGTTCGCATTTTTGCTGTTGCGTGCTTACATTACCGTATACTCGCATTTCCGATGAACACAGGAAAAAGAACAAAAGATTATGGAAGTCGCGTACAAAGACACCACTGTGAAAACTCAGTTTTCGGTAGTCTGCGCAGAAGTATTTTTCATATTGAAAGACAACTCCTCAAAGAAGGGGACTTCATCTTTAAAATTGCAGCTTGTCCTTAAGAGGAACATTTTTCTAACTTTGCAGGTCTTTAATATAGTTGCAACTAGTTTTTAACCATGACCAAACCTCAATGTCAGGAAATAAAAGTGAAGCCCTACCCCCCGCCCCCACCTTTCCAAAACAACCATCTGTTTTAAAACCATCGGTTTTTTTTTCTCCGTGTTTCTTCATTTTGATTTTTTTTATACTCGTTTGGAGCCTTGCGCCACAATAATGATTGAATCGTTTCTGACGGCCCGTTTCGTACAGAAAAACAAAACAGGCCTCGATTCTCTGGGGCAGGGAAATGGACTGGAGCCGGCTCAACGTAGCATCGCGGTTTCACGCCAAGTGAAAATTGGTTATGTTACTCTTCAGATCCCCACAAATGTCTCTACCTTTCGATTACGTATTGCAAAACCAGCGGGAGCGAGCAGGCAGGTAGGCACGCACCTTAAACTCCCAGAAACCGCGTCAGTTCGGATCCCACTCGGCGCACGCTGGTGACGTAAATCCTGCGCCGGACGTGAGGCTGTGGGCTGCCAGGCTCTGTTATGGCTACTACAGGGGCACGTTGGAACCATGTGTGGGTTGGCACCGAGACTGGGATCCTTAAAGGTGGGTGGCAGGACCGGGCGTGGGAAGTGGGAGGTCGATAGCTCGCGACCCCGGTACGACTGACACCCGCGTCTCGCAGGGGTGAACCTTCAGCGCAAACAGGCGGCGAACTTCACGGCGACGGGACAGCCGCGGCGCGAGGAGGCGGTGAGCGCCCTATGTTGGGGCGCGGGTGGTGAGACACAGGTGAGCAGCCGCTGGCCGGATTGGAGCTGGGGGGACGGTAGACCCCCTTTCCTCACCAACTTGTCCTTCTCTGCCCGCAGATCCTGGTAGGCTGTGTCGACAGGACAGTGAAGCACTTTAGCACCGAGGAGGGCAGATTCCAGGGCCAGAGGCACTGCCCCGGCGGGGAGGGCACGTTTCGAGGCCTCGCCCAGGTCGACGGGTAAGACCGGGGCCCTCGATGAACGCTTAGGACAACCTTTGAGGCTCACACAGGACGGCCGAATGATGGCGACCAACCCTTAGGGTGCCACGGTCCTGGGCTGGGGGACAGGGACCTGTGTCCTGCCTTCCTTCATAAATTCCTATAACATTTATTGAACACCTACTGAGTTGCACGAATTCAGCGAAATGCAAGGAAGAGCTGCAGGTAAACCAGACACACAGTACCTACCTTCATAGAGTTTGCATCCTCGAGGAATTTTCTTCTGGTTCCATAACCTTTTGAGTGACCCTGAGCAAGTCCTTTAATAGTTCAGAGGGTGTTTTTAAACGGCGACTGACAACCACCACCAAGGTGATGAAGATCCCAAAGTGAGGGGTAGGAGGAAGGTGCTAGTGGTTCAATTACTGGCATAAATTTCTTCTGCAGATGAAGAGAGGAGGTTGTGAATAGGCCATGTGGGTTTGGTGGTGGTAATTCTGACAGGCGAGGTCTGGGAGATTCTTTGGGGACCAAGTGAGACGTTTGAAGTAGGGTTTGAAGAATTGTTAGAATTTTGACTGGTGGAGAAAGGGATAATCCCTAGAGGAGTAGCCTCTAGAAAGAGGCTACTGCCTGGGCAGAGGCCAAGGATTGGTGTCGGGCCACAGGGCACCTTTCAGGGGAGATAAATAGCATTTGGGGATTGACACTGAGGAATCATTTTACTACAAGATGGGTAGGGTAGCTTGAGATTAATTGTAAAGGGCTTTAGGTGCCAGGCTGAGATTTGCACTTTTGTTTTGTAGGTGGTGGGGAGTTACTGGTTTTTGAGGGGGCAGTGCTGTGGCCAGAGCTGTGAGCTTGTAGGAGTGTGGAGGATGAATTGGAGAGAGAGAACAGTTGGAAGACAGTTGCCACAGCCGAGGCAAGTGATGCAGACGCTGAATTAAGGTGGCAAGGGTGGGCATAGGCTCGGGCCATGCAGCTCCTCGGGCTTCTTGCGGGGGGTGGTTCTTTGAGGAGGAGATTGACATTTAGCACGTAGGACCCAGAACAGGGATCTCAAGGGAAGCAGCTGGTGGTTGACTTTGGCCAAATGCTAAACCCACACCAGTCCCATTTCAGTCTTTTCAGAGTTCCTGAGCCTGACCCCTGGTGACTAACTTAAGATTCAGAAACACCTGCAGGGCCAGATTTAGCTGTGGAATACAAAGTCACTGCCTTGGAGTGTTACAGACTTGATTTCTAGTTCTGATATTTGCTGAGTGGGCAAATCTTTTAATTGCTTAGAGCTTCAGTTTCCTCACTTATAAAACTGGTAAACCTTGCCCTGGCTGGTGTGGCTCAGTGGATTGAGTGCCAGCCTGCGAACCAAAAGGTTGTTGGTTTGATTCCCAATCAAGGCACATGCCTGGGTTGCACACCAGGTCCCCAGTTGGGGGCGTGCAAGAGGCAACCAACTGATTGTTTCTCCATCTCTTTCTCCCTCCCTTCCTCTCTCTCTAAAAATAAACAAAATACTTAAAAAAACAAAAAACAAAAAACCCGTGGTAAATCCTTACTCTGTTGAAGAAATTAAGTAATAGGTTCTGGCTGGGTATCTCAATTGGTTATAGTGTCATCCAGTATGCCAAGGCTGCAGGTTCAATCTCTGGTCAATACACATACAAGAACAAACCAATGAATGCATAAATAGGTGGAACAACAAATTGATGTCTCTTTTCTCCCCCCTTCCTCTCTCTCTCTAAAAATCAATAAATGTAAAAAAATTAATAGTAGACACTGAGGTGGGAAGCCCTGCCCAGACTCATTACCTGGAGGCTTTCTTAGGAAGAGGGCTGGTGGTAGTCCAGTTAATTTGGGGGTGGTCGACTGGGACTCATTTTCATATTTTCTTTTTTTGAGCTTAACTCTATTTTGTCCTTCCTTTCCCTGCAGCACCCTCATCACATGTGTGGATTCTGGGATTCTCCGAGTCTGGCGTGACAATGACAAGGAGATATCTTCCGACCCAGTGAGGCTCCCCTGCCCTGATCCTGACGGTTGGGGAAGGCGGGAGCCAGGGGAGGATTTGAATGAGGGCATTGGGCAACAAGGAGGGTTAGGGACTGCGGAACTGATTCATTTCCCATCTCATCTCGTTCTTTCCAGCTCCTGGAACTGAGGGTGGGCCCTGGGGTGTGTAGGATGCGCCAAAACCCAGCGCATCCCCACGTCGTTGCCACAGGTGGGAAGGAGAATGCTTTAAAGGTGTGGGACCTGCAGGGGTCTGAGGAGCCTGTGTTCAGAGCCAAGAACGTGAGTGACTGGTAGGGAGTGGCTCGGTCTGAGGTCCAGGGAGGCTGGGGCCACTGACCATGAGTCAGAGACCAGGTGGGCTTTAGGGGATGATCACAGGTCAGAAGGAAGGGACACACGAAGCTGCCCACGACCCTGTCTCCCATCTACCTACCCCACCAGGTACGGAATGACTGGCTCGACCTGCGAGTTCCCATCTGGGACCAGGACATACAGTTCCTCCCCGAGTCACAGAAGCTCGTCACCTGTACAGGGTACCACCAGGTGAGACACCACCCCATGCCTGCCTCCTACTGGGCGTAAGCAGCCTTCCAGGGAAACAGCCTCCCTGTGTAACTAGTTTTTGTTACCCTTTGTCACTGGGGCCCCTCTGACCATTCCTCTGTCCCTGAACTCTGAGGAGGGAACACTCCCCCATCCGTTCCAGCCCCATAACCATCTCTTACTGCATTCCAGTATGGAGTTTCCTGAACTACGACTCTTCCTCTTCCTCCACTAGAAGAGAGAGGAGGAGAAGGGAGTGTTCCTTCACAGTAGAATTACAGGGTGCAAGTGCCATGAGAGGACATTGGGCTCTGTGTCAAGAGAACTGGGTCTTTGGTCCTGATGCAGCCTCTGATTTGCTTCAGGACCCAGGCTTGACTCCTCTCTGGCCTCAGCTCCTCAGCTTTATAGAGGGGGCCCAACTGAGGATCTTTATAGTCCTGAGCCAGGCAGGACGGGGTCACTGTATTTGCTGTTTCCTTTGCTCCTGCATATTGAAGTCTGATCTTGGTGATATGCCTCTGCTCAAAACACACCCAAGGGCTTACTCTTACCTCCCTTGTTCAGGCTAAACCTCTGTGCTTAAAATTCGGCACCCGCTGACAATGGGACTGACTTGCTTTTCCATCCCAGGATGGGAGAACGGGGGTATGGAATGGTCACACAGGCAGACCATGGGAATGCTGCACTGGTTAACCCGGGGTGGGGGGTGTCCCTCAGCCCTGTCTATGTATGCGCCTCAGCTTTCCCCCAACCCCCAACACTCAGAGAAGAGGGGAACATTTCAAATGAGAACGTTTCTCTAAGAGTGGGTCCTAAACAGGAAAGCAGTGCACAAAGGAGAGGGTGAAATGCGGGAAAGCCAGTCACGGGCTGTGTGGGGAAGGGTACCTGTTGTGATCTCAGTCTTCCTCCAGGTCCGTGTCTATGATCCAGCCTCCCCCCAGCGCCGGCCGGTGCTAGAGGCCACCTATGGGGAGCACCCACTGACCGCTATGACTCTCACTCCTGGGAGCAAGTGAGTGTTTGCCCTGCAGAGTGGGGACGGGAAGGGCTCCAGGAGGCGCCTGCTGACCTCACCTGCTTCTGGTCTCTTCCTCAGTTCGGTGATTGTGGGGAACACTCATGGGCAGCTGGCAGAGATTGACCTGCGGCAAGGTCGTGGACTGGGGAGCCTTGGGGGGGGTGGGGGCAGGATTCCCTCTGAGGCAGTGGTGGGGTGGTTGAACTCTCATTTAGGTGTCAGATTGTGTGGGTTCAAATTGTGGATTCAAAAGCTGAATGACCTTGGACAAATTACTTCCAACTCTCTGTGCCTTAGTTCCTTCACCTATGAAATGGAGATACAATGGTAACTCCTATCTCAGCATTATGTTGAGGATGAAATAATGAAATGCAGTGATTTGAACAGTAAACTGTACTGCCCGTTGGCTGGCCAGCTGATGCTGATGCCTCCCTGCTCCTCCAGGGCGCCTGCTGGGTTGTCTGAAGGGGCTGGCGGGCAGTGTCCGAGGGCTGCAGTGCCACCCTTCAAAGCCCCTCTTAGCCTCCTGTGGCTTGGACAGAATGTTGAGGGTACACAGGATCCGGAATCCACGGGGTCTGGAGCACAAGGTGAGAGGCTGCTGCTTTCTGCGCCCCCCATTCATGTTTCTGTACACTTCAGTGTGTTTCACACCTTAAGGCCCCTCATCCCTTGCAGGTTTATCTCAAGTCTCAACTGAACTGCCTTCTCCTGTCAGGCAGGGATAACTGGGAGGTAAGCAGTTGGGTCCGGGAAGGTGGAAGCCCAGGGCATAAGACGTGAGGATTTATTTCCTAGTGGGGAGAAAAAGGAAGCAGCCGGAACACAGGCCTGGAACTGTCCGTCCCCCTGCCACATTACTTAGTTTTCATGCAGTGTTAACAGTTACAGTCCTGACAGAGTTACTGCCATGGGTGACACAGGAACATGGATGGGGATTGTTTCCCAGAGCAGAAAATAGAAGGGGTGGTACTTGGAAAGATTATTTCCCAGTTCAAGCCTCCTTCCCTGTGGGTCTGTTACTGTGCCCCTGACTTCTCTCCACTCACCAGGATGAACCGATGGAGCCTCAAGAGCCCCAAAAGCCCAAAAACTTATCCTCAGAAGACGCAGAGGCAGATGAACTTTGGGCTTCTTTGGAGGCAGCTGCCAAGCGGAAGCTCCCTGACAGGGAGCAGACCCCAGGGGCTTTCCAAACCAGACGGAGAAAGAAGAAGCGGCCTGGCTCCACCAGCCCCTGAAAAGCCTGAGCTCATTTTGTAAATAAACAGTTGACACTCATCATGACCCCGAGTCTTTTGTGATGGGAGAAATGAAAGGGGTGGCTGCTCGCTGAGCTGGGATATCTGACGTCACAAAAGCCTGGTGGGAGCCAGATGGGCTGGAGTGTGTGGCACGGAGTGCTGGGCAGAGCGGGCCATGGGCTGCTGCCAGGACAAAGACTTTAACACCTCTGGTGGGCAGGCCAAGGAGGTCGAATCGGAGGAAATCGGGGAAGGTGGGAACAGATACACCTGGGGTGCCCAGGGAATGGGGGTGGAAGGCCCAGGAGGTGGGTGGGGGAGGGGAGAGCGGCGCTCAGCGGCCTCGTCACCCTCGCAGACACCGAAGGGGTCGATGTGGACTCGCCAGAACACCGGAATCCCAAGTCTAACGAAAGCCTTTTGATCACCGTGCTGTGGCGGCGGCTATCCCTGTTCAGTCGTCGGGGCTCGCGGTCAAGCAGGCTGCAATCACTCCCGAGTCAAAAGCATGGGTGTTCGTTCCAGGAGAACAGCCCGGAGGGAATTCTGGAGGAGCCGGAGAAGGGGTAACTCCAGCCCTGCTTTCGGTCCTCCCTAGCCTCCAGAGAATAAAGTTTCTAACGTGTACTTGCCAGAGCTTTTGTGCCTCTGCTGCCACTCTGCCCGCACTGGGCACGAGCACCAGCGCGGCGGCGGTCTCTTTAAGGCTCCTCCCCTGAGGCTGGCCCACCCGGGTGGCCCCGAGCTCTATTCTAGGGGGCGGGGTCACGGCAGCAGTCTAGCCAATGGAAGAGCGGAGTCGTTCCTGTATTTGGGTGTGGGGCGTGTCTCTCGCGTTGCCGGGCTCGAAAAGGCGTGGCACCGCCCTCTAGTCACCGGGGGTGGGGTTACGTGTGGGTGACGTGGCGGCCTCTAGTCTGTGGTCGAGTTTCCGAGGCTTCCGCGCCAAGGGAAGAGGCGGTGACGACCCAGGAGACTGTGGCAGCGGCAGCGGCGGAGGCAGGCGGCAGGCGGCGGAGAAGGTAGGACTTACTCTAAGAGTGGTCTGGCTGCCGTGTCAGCTCAGGGCAGCGGCTTTCCGGGGGCGGCCACGGGAAGGGGGAAGGGAGCCTGAGGCGAACGGATGAGTCCTGCCGCCCGGCTCGCGGTGAGCGAATACCTCGGTGTCCAATTAGGAAAGCCTCTATTGAGAAAGACGTCGGCATTAGCTAGTCAGTAGTTCCAGTCCCCTGGAAGGTGGGGCTTGAGGAGGTGGGACTTCCTGTTTCAAATAAACACCTAGAGATTTTTCCCCCCTCCGCCCACCGAAGTGTGTACCCCTCAGAAGGTCCGTTACCATTTCTCCCTGAGGAGTCGAAGGAACGCCTGGATCCTAGAGGGCCTGGTTACGACCTGGGGCAGTCGCACAGGCCGGGCTGGAGCCTCGGGACCTCGGGACCGGCCTTTGGCCCTGCCTCTGTTTCAGAGCCCCCGACCCTCGCTCTGGCTGCCCGAGCCAAGTTGGAAGAAGAGTGAGGAGGGGAATGGCTTAGGCCGGAAAGGAAGTAGGGCCCTGCCCGTTGCCGTCCGGCCCCAGGATCTGTGGGTGGCTTTGGGGCCCAAGAATTTACTGGTTGGGGGGAATTTGTGGGGAAGAGGCCTGGCGAATGACACTCTCCCATCCACAACAGTCCGAGGTTATGCGTCTCAATGATCCCGCGGAAACGCTACGGGTCTAAGAACACGGATCAGGGTGTCTACCTGGGTCTCTCAAAGACACAAGTCCTGTCCCCTGCAACTGCTGGCAGTAGCAGCAGCGACATCACCCCTCTGCCCACCCCAGTGGCCCTGGTCCCTCCCCCTCCCGACGCCATGTCCTGCCGGGATCGGACCCAAGAGTTCCTGTCTGCCTGCAAATCCCTACAGGGCCGTCAGGTAAGGACCCGGAGTGGGACACGCAGGGGTGAGCTTTCCTCGGATCTGGGAGCGGCTGTGTGTCCCAGCACTGTTGATCGAGATCATTCTTGCGGGAACCTGGAGAACTGATCACGCTTGGAGGACGCGGTAGGGGCTAAGAGATGGCCAGCTCCCTAGAGGCAAACGTACTTTTTTTGTGTGAGGAATCCCCTGAGAAGAGGGTAGGGGTGCTCTTCCTGAAGGAATATCTCAGGACGGTAGGTGGCTGCGATATGCTTGGTTTGGATACAGAAGAGATCATAGCAAAAGTCTCTCATGGAGAGAAAGCACTTTGAATTTCAGTTCTGGTATAGTTCAGCCCCACAGGGAAGTTAGTTGGGCCGGTTCCTGTATCTATACAATGAAGGAAGTTTTCTATTGTAGATAGATTTATAATTTTTTAAAATACTTTATTTTTTATTTTTAGAGAGAGGGGCATAGAGGGAGGAAGAGGGGAAGAGAAACATTGATGTGGGAGAGAGACATTGATCGGTTGCCTCTCACACACCCTGAAACTGGGGACCAGGCCTACAACCTGGGAATGTGCCCTGACTGGGTATCGAACCAGTGACCTTTCAGCTTGCAGGCCAGCGCTCAATCCACTGAGCCACACCAGCCAGGGCTGTACTTTTTACCAAAATTAATTTGGGTGCTTTTTAGAAAATTGCATTCCTTTGTCTTGATCTAGACTTTCTGAATCTAAGTAGGACCTGAGTGACTGTAATCTTAAATATTTTTACTGCTAAGCTTTTGTTAACAGTGGCTCTTCTGTATGACCTCCAAGAGCTTTCCAGCTATCTTTGATTCCCTGATTAGGACAGAATGGTAATATGAGCTACCATTTATTTAGTATTCACAGTGTACCAGCTATTTGGCTAAAATACTTTCTAGTCTTATTTTTAATCTTACCAACAATCATAGAAGGTGTATGGATTGTCTTCATTTTATAGAAGAGGAAATAGAGATTCTAATTTCTAAGTAACTTGCCCCAAACTCCCAGCTAGTTAAGTGTATGCAGTCAAGGTTTGAACCCAGGTCTGCTGGTCTTCAAATTTGGGCTCTAAACTACTGCTACCGCTAAAATTAGACCGTCTGGTGGAGGACACCATCAGTACTAGAAAGAGAGTTTAGTGGACACCCGAAAACAATGAAAGCTGGTAATGGGGAGAGGGGAACGGAAGTTTCATCTTTTGACATTGCTTTTCAGAATGGAATACAGACAAACAAACCAGCTCTGCGTGCTGTTCGGCAGCGTAGTGAATTCACCCTCATGGCCAAGTGAGTTGAGAGGAGTTAGGCGGTGGGCTGATAACAGTATCTAAGGAGAAGTAGGCTTGCCTTTGGTGGCCTTGGCTGTGAGGGCGGGGGTTTGTTGTGCTGGAGCTAATGTGGGAATAGGCCCTCTCCAGCTCTTTCCCACAGTGTTGTCACTATTGCTTGCTTGCAGGCGCATTGGGAAGGACCTCAGCAACACATTTGCCAAGCTGGAGAAGCTGACAATCTGTGAGTGTTCTTGGGGTGTCTCAGAGATGGAGCAGTGAACCAAAGAGGGGGGAGGAACTGCATTCCCTGACCCTTGTCTTTGATGTCACTCATCATGACTTCTCATTTATCTCTACAGTGGCAAAGCGAAAGTCCCTCTTTGATGATAAGGCAGTGGAAATTGAGGAGCTAACTTATATCATCAAACAGGTGAGCTACTAACTATGAAGAGAGCCCAGATTTCCAGTCAGATCACTTCCATCATTTCCATCGCCATGGAGGCCCAGAGCAAGTTTCTAGAGTCAGCCCCAAACATCTTGCTCGTCCATTGAGTCAGTAGATATTTATTGATCATCTACTGTGCACAAACCAAGTATTGCGCTGGTCACTTGTCAAACGTGAGGCAAGACTCTGCCTTCAAGGGTTTGGTCTATAAATTCAGGCTTAAGTGAGTAGGAGGCGAATGTACAGGACAGATTTTACCAAAAGATGAATTAGATAGTCTGGAAACACTGGAAAAGATTTTATAGAAGAGGTCATATCTGAGTTGGTTTGAAGGCTTTACGTATAGAGGCAGATTTTCCAGACAGAGAAAACAGTGTGTGCAGAGGTATGGCTTGTAAAAGGGAAAGGTCTGGTCTTTGCTCAGGTGTTGCCTGCCCAGGGAGGCCTACCCTACCCTGACTGTGCTGTTTATTAATCCAGCAACCAAAACTCTGATTTCCCTTACCTTGCTCTGTTTTCTTTTTTATAGCACTTGATACATTCTAACATTCCCTGTAAATTAACTTACTATGTTTATTGTTTGTCTCTGTTCCCCACGCCCCCCGCCCTGCACCTACCTCATTCCCCCTTGAAAAAAGAAAAAATAAGTGCCACAAGAGCAGAGATTTTTTTTCTTTCTGCTTGTTCACAGATGTATCCCAAATGCCTGTAACAGTGTCTGGTATTTGGTAGGTACTTAATATTTGTTGACTGAATCAGTACTTGGCAGGAGATGAGGCCGGAAAGATAGGTGGGTGGCTGGGTGTGAAGATCATTGTGGATCTTGCTAAGGTGTATGGAGTCACCCTGAATGCCATGGGATGCAAAGACGATTAGAACCTGGATCCCAGTTCTGTCTGAAAGACACTGAATAAAGCACAGTTCTCTACAGTTGTGATTCCTTGCTCTCCCAGGACAGTATAATAAGAATAGAATATGAAATTGAATGACTGTGGATGGAGGGGGGGGAAAAAAAGACCCTGGAGCAGGATAGGCAGAGAGGCTAGGAAGGACCCTGCTGCAATTGTCCAGTACAAAAGGGATTATGGCAGACAGGCCAAAGGGGAGATGCATTGAAGAGATGCTGTGCTGGGTAGAAAAGAGATGGTTCTACTAACTACTGCGGTGCTACTGTGTAGACATGCAAGGTACAGCTGGATTCAGACAGACCCCAGATCCCAGGTCCACCCCTTGCAGTGTGACCTAAGCTACCTAACTACTCCAAGCTTCAGTTCCCTTGTAAATGAAAAGGGGATAACAACAGTACCTACCTCACAGGGTTGTTGTGAGGGTTCTTTCGTTTATTTCCCAATCCCATTACAGATGTGTGGTCCCTTCTTTGGGAAATGC